CCGGCGAAGGACACGCCGTAGTTGTATGTGAGGATTGACGTCACCATCCCCAACTCAAGTGCAGTAGGTACAATGTTGAAGAGAATGGCCCCCAGGATGAAGCTGATGCCTCTCGAACCCCTGCAGGTGTGTGGGTTAGTATAGTAGGTGTGTGGGTTAGTATAGTAGGTGTATGAGTTGGTATAGTAGGTGTGTGGGTTAGTATAGTAGGTGTGTGTGTTAGTATAGTAGGTGAGTGAGTTGGTATAGTACTAGACACGCTTATATAACCTAATATACTAATAGACGCGCTTATATAACCTAATATACTAATAGAGGCGCTTATATAACCCAATATGCTAATAGACACGCTTATATAACCTAATATACTAATAGACACGCTTATATAACCTAATATACTAATAGACACGCTTATATAACCGACAGGACATACACACGAATGGACCAACGGAATGATGTAAAGCTGTTCATATTTCACTAAGCATCTATGGGTGTTGTGCCAGACTAGACCGAAAGGACATACGTACGTATGGAGGCGTGTTTACATATGAGCTGCCTACACATCAGGCGCGTGTACACGTGTGTACGTATGTGTGTGTGCGTATGTGTGTGTACGTATGTACCTGTCAATGGCTTTGCTGAGTGCACCCGTTTTGCGAGTCAAGTGATAGTTCAGGTCCAATCGGTGCAGATGCGAAAACGTTTCACCTGCGACTTTGCGGATGGCGTTTTGCGATACTGCGGTGAAGAGAGCCGAACGAAGCTCACCGAAGAAACTGGCACCCAGACGAGCCAAACCATCTGTATATACAACAGGACATATAAGTATATTATATATTTATATGAATAACAGGACATATCAGTATATTTTATACTTATGCATATACAACAGGACAAATCAGTATATTATATACTTATATGAATAACAGGACATATCAGATACAGAAGTATATTAGATACCTATGTATAAATAACAGGACATATCAGATACAGAAGTATATTAGATACTTATATATAAACAACAGGACATATCAGATACAGAAGTATATTAGATACTTATGTATAAATAACAGGACATATCAGATGCAGAAGTGTAATTGATACCTATATGTAAAGAACAGGACATATCAGATACAGAAGTATATTAGATGCATATGTATGAACAACAGGACATATCAGATACAGAAGTATATTATATACTTATGTATGAACAACAGGACATATCAGATACAGAAGTATTTTAGATACTTATATATAAACAACAAGACATATCAGATATAAAAGTGTAATAGATACTAATATATATAAACAGTAGATACCACACATATCTTACATACATGAGATGATCACAGCACACCTGTGCACAGATGTAGGTAATATTAGGGTTTTAGGGTTTATCTTACATACATGAGATGATCAGCGCCCCAGCCGTAGTGAAGACAACGTTGACTGTGGCACCGGACACGTCGATGTTGAGTTCGTCAATGGCTTGTTTGAAGTAGAAGGGCGTCATGACATTTATAACCTGTACAACAACACAGCACAACAACACAGTACATACAACACCCAACACACACCAGCACACACACACACACGTACACAGACACAGGAGATGTTTAGAAGAGATGTACACAAAAGAACACAGAAACATGGCCACACGGTTGCGATGAGGGGTGTAGGGATGTACTCAAGCACGCGGACGATTGATGGAACATGTACACACACACGCACACACACAAACACACACACACACACACACATATATATATATAGTAGAGAAAGGGAGGAACGGTGTGAGAGCAAGCAGAAAGGTGCGTTGAACCCCTTCAACACCTGTACATGTCAACGGAATGACCAAACAGGAATAGCGGACCAGAAACACGTTAACGCAATGGGCCAGAGGCAGTTTAACGCCCATCTGAGAGGCGACTCGGTGGTACAGGCCAGTAGCAGATGTGTGGCACTGATACGTAATGGGCATTACGTTAAGACACGAGTGATGTGCGAGTGACACGAGGCGCTTGAGAACGAAGCAATGACTTCAAAAGAAGAAGAAATGACTAGAAGGTACTTACAATCCTAATCCTTATAAAACCGTAAACCGTAAAGATTATAAAGCCCTAAACATAAAAGCTTAAACCGTAAACATTATAAAGCCCTAAACCGTAAGCATAAAAACAGTAAACCCTAAATCATTTCTACTTCATTCACCAACAACATCTCGTAGGGGTTGACTCACCTTAGCGAAAACCAAGGCTCCCAAGGCGGCGATGACACGGACTTTCAGACCCACTTTACCTTTGGGCCATAGATACTTAGCCTACGTAGGTAGACAGGTGAGATGGTAGGTAAGTCACAGGCACGGGACGGTATAAGCAATTGAACTAAGCTAGTGATAGTCTACTGCAAGGGATGGACGGGTACAGGCAACAGGACACGTGCATGTATGGATTAACATACGCACATGCATGTATTAACACACACACATGCATGGATTAACACACACATGCATGGAATAACACACACACATGCATGGATTAACACACACACATGCATGGAATAACATACACACATGCATGGATTAACACACACACACACATGGAATAACATACACACATGCATGGATTAACACACACACATGCATAGATTAACACACACACATGCATGGATTAACACACACATGCATGGATTAACACACACACATGCATGGAATAACACACACTTATGCATGGATTAACACACACACACATGCATGAATTAGCACACACACATGCATGCATTAGCACACACATACACATGCACGTGCACAATTAAACAAGTACTTACCAACTTCTTGACGATGTGGAAATCCGCCTCCACCTCTGTATCGACTACTTTGACCGTCTTCTCTATGAGCGGTTTATTCACTCGATTGGCCACTCCTCGAGTGATTGGGTGTGACAGCACACCCCTGCCTGCGACGCCAATGGACTTGATGGGTGTGTACGCGTGTGTGTGTATTCTCGCTGTTGTGTGTGGGTGTGGGAGTGGGAGTGGATGTGCGAAAGTGTGTACGTGGGTTTGTGGTGGTGAGGTTTGGATGGATCGCACGACCCTGGTGGACTGGAAAGTACTCCGCATGGCCAGGTGGGTCTGTGGTGGGTAGATTATGTAGGTGGATTTAAGTAGGTAGATTAAGAGGGTGGCATTGGCGTGTCAGAATCAAATTTCATCAACTGACAAGTGTGTCGGGTGAATAAATGGTTTACAATTCGTCACAGTTTGTTTGCTATGACTGTCACTTGCTGAATTCAAATGAGGTCCAGTATTCGGCTTTAAATGTATTCAAAAGCAGCCATTCCCAATACTCAAATTGGAACACAACCGAGGTGAAATTGGTATTGATTTATACATATGTAATAAGAAAAAACGCACAAGGATACTACTTCGTTACTACCGCTATACAATAAACCAAAAAATTAACACGCACTAACAAAAATACGTATGAGATATACATGTAAACATGCCAATGCACACACAGGTATGCAGACACGTACAGACACATAGAAATAGAGACACACACACACACGTACATATACACAGCGATATATACACATACATACATAGATATATATATATATATATATAAATGTATATATATATATATATATATATAACACACACACACACACATATATATACATATATATATTTATACACACACACACACACACACACACACACGCATATATATATATATATATATATATAGAGATGATACATCAGTATATATACATATAAAATATATATACCTACACAAAATTACACACACACAC